CGCCCTGCACTTCGCTAAATAATGTTGTATATTGTATTATTACCAAGAGAAAGAGAAGACGGGCAAGCCCTAAATATTTTGTGCTAGCTTTTACAACTACGTGCGGTAATCCGGAAAGGGACATATCAAAGTCGCTTATAATAGATGTGTATTCATTTGAATTTTGATGCATATTGTCGGTAGGTACATTATGATGCGTGTCTTCGTTTGGTGCAGTACTGCTATCCAACGTTGTGAACAAATCCGCAGTCTCCAGTGTAATGTCTCTTTCTTCGTATGTAACCTGGGTATAGTTGCAATTGTTTTCCATATAAAACCGAGATAGCCGTTCTAAGTTTGCGGAGTTGACTAGCATGCACTGCTTGTTTTTGTAATTTTTAACTGTTGTTTTCGGACCTACCAGTGTGCAGTTGTACTCAAAACTATTTCTAATATTTCTTGGTAGTAGTGTGACAGGGGGTTTTGGATCGGCCATGCAGGCATAGCTGTGCGAGCGAACGTAATTATTTGTATGGAACCATGTGGTGCGAATCCAATGAATAACTTGCACCGTCGAACACATTGATTTTTCCATTTCATTGAAAGTTTGATATTCCTTAGGCAAGTAACCAATATATAATCCATTTGCAATGGCGAATTTGTTTGGGCTGCATCGTTTTTCTTTTGCTTTGAAAAATTTATCACATGTGGCACAAAATCGAAGGTGTCCATTATCCTCAGTAATTCCATCTTTAGAAAGTAATAAGTTTGAAAGAAATGAGTGACGATTTCCTAAATTATACTGATTTTTCAATAGGATATTCAAGTTTTCTGGGCATCTGAGAATTTGTAACTTTTTTTGCAATTCTGCGGTAATTGGAATGTCCACAGTGTTAATATTATACGTATCACAGATAGCGCATATCTAAACGTTTAGTTTACTGTATAAGATATTTAGGTTAAGATAAATATAAAAATGAAAATAACAGCAACAAAATGGATTTGTTATTGAGGTAGATGTTATGTTGTAAAATTGTTTTGAAAGGTAGCTGTGCAAAAGCGTTTACATACCCCATTGAAAACGCTTTCGCCCAGACCCATTTGAAAGATTGTTTTGAAAGGTAGCTGTGCAAAAGCGTTTACATACCCCTTTGAAAACGCTTTCGCCCAGACCCATTTGAAAAAAAATTGAAAGTATAAGTTAACAGTTATTGCAAGAATGAAAATAATGATTCCAAGATTGGAAATCAATACTAGTAAGTTGGTGTTTGTTTTTCAATTACCTTTTGTTTGGTGAATGATTCGAATACGTTCGCTGCTTCTGCTAGAATATATGAGTTTAAAGTCTCTTGCTATAGAGTCAGTAATAGTAGATTACTCGTTTCGCTCTTCTACGGGTTTGTTGCTGTCCGTTTCTTTTACAACCAGTGTTTTTAGAATTCATAAAGGTAAAAGATAAACATTATTGTTGTTTAATTAAACGCGACCTTAAGATCATGTGTTGTTTGTTGATAGTTGGTCGCGTCGTATCGGTCATCTCTTATCAGTCATGTGTTGTTTATATATAAAAGTGATAAAATAAAACGTATTTGTTTCTCATATCGATATGCAAAGAAGCAACTCCCCTCACAAGAAACCTCCAGGTGAACCTATTAAGCCAGCCGAGAAAAATGAAGCAGCTTTGTATGATACCTTGTACAATGAATTCAATTATTCCAATGCTTCTGAAAGTTTAAAATCACGAGTTGGGGATGAGCAAGTGGTTCTCTTCGATGACTTTGTTAACTTGAAAAAGCCAATAGTTATACAACTATTTGGCGTGCTGGGAGCTGAATCGAGATTGGGTGAAACTGTAAGTGATTTGATAAGTAACCAAAGGGTAACTTAAATGCAGTGTCATATGTGAATGATATAAATGATGCCCTTTATACATGCAACATTCATCTATTTCCTGCTGACGTTAAAAGAATGTTGTATCTTTTGGACTACATCAAAAGTCAATTTGAAGCATCCGAAACATTTAAATTGCCATACTATGAACACTCAACAGCTATGATTTTTAAAAAGAAGGTTATGACTAAAAAGAAAGGAGTGTATGAAAGGTCTCTTTTTTTAGCTTTTGATGCTAATGAAAACCCCATAGATGCGGCTGATTTGAAAACTGGAGACGTAGTGGATATCCAATTCACTTTCAAACCATATGATTTCAAAAATAAGAATGAGCGTTTTGTTGGTATCAGCGTTGAAATGCTAGGTCTCCAATGCCTACGTAAAAAAGAACAAGTATCCGAATATGACTTAACTTCAATGATTCCTAAAACAGTTGCTAGTGTTTCGCAAGTGTTGGTATATTCTCCACGTAAAAGAGTTAGAATTTAATAAAGATTCCAATTCTCTCTCATTCTCAGTCATTTACCTTCTGTTTGTAACTTCGCCTTGTAGTATTTTCTTACGATGGAAATCTTTCTGGAAGCACCCTAATCAAAAGCGTTTTCAAGGGGGTATGAAAACGCTTTTGTTTTAACCCTTTCAAATCAAATTTGAGTAACAACACAAAATCAATTTGGAATCACCCGTTGCTGAAAGCGTTTTCAAGGGGGTTTGAAAACGATTTCGTTTTGCCCCCTTTCAAATTGAGTTTAAGAACAAAAAACCGATATTCACCACCCGGAATCGAACCGGGACCGCTCCGGTGAAAAACACAAACTGTTCTTACCGGGATTGAACTCTCGCTCTCATGTTGTGAGTGTAATGCCCTACCAACTGGGCTATAGAGGGTTCATTTCTAAATCGCTCTGATGAAATATATTAAAACCTCTCAAAAAGGGAGGCTTCATTTTTTTCAGAGCAGAAACAAAAAGAACAATGGATGTCCATTGTTCTTTTATATGAGGCTTAACCT